TTGAAAGTTTGCAAAAAATGTGGTATTTTTTATATTAAATTTAATTTAAATTGTTGATTAAATATAATAAATTTGTTTATCAAGAAGAAGGTTCAGAAATGATATCAGAATTAATCAAAAAAGAATAACTTATAAGTGAATACATTTAAATATTTTTTATATAAAAATAAACATTAAAGTTATGATTTAAACAAATACTTCATAAAACCACCTAAGCAAAGTAATATATTTAGTTTTAAGATTAGATCTATACATAACAAAAGAGTTAAAATTAGTTGTATAAAACTTTTTCAACAATTCAATATTAAAAATAAGAACAATATCTATAGCCTAAATCCATCGTTTAATAAAGTTAATGTTAAATATTTCCATTTGGATAGTATCCTCCTTTAAATCAATAGATATTTTAAAGAAATAAGAACATTATTTAAGCATAACCTGTACAATAAATTTATGTTTAACCTGTCAAAAGTATTACAAATAGACCTTAAATTACTTTAAATAATCTATGTTTTAATGATGATGAAATGATTGAACCACAAAAATAAATTATCAAATAAAACGTAATGAAATATGATTTAAATAACAATATTAAATTTGAAGTCAAAACTATTTATCAAGCGGTTAGATTACTCAATAATAAAGCATAATATTTACCTGGAATAGTTAGCATTAAAGCTTAAGAAAAAACTATTTCAGAAAATAATAAAAATGAAAGAGTTGGAGTAGATTTGGTAATTATATTTTTATATTCATTAGATTTGTTTAATTGATATTAGTGGTAGTATGATAGGAATTAAAATTGAAATGGTTAAATAATCTTTAATTATCTTACTTTAATTTTTGGGAGATAATGATAGGCTTCAATTAATTACTTTTGATGATAAAGCTTACAAGTTGACTCCTCTAAAGAGAGGAACATAGAAGAATAAAGAATATTTCACTTAAATTATTAAATATATTTAAGCTGACGGAGGAAATCAAATTTCTGAAGCCACATAAATGGCATTTTAATAATTAAAATATAGAAAATATGTTAATAATGTAACATCCATTTTCTTGCTTTCTGATGGGGTTGATTTTACCTTTCCAGCAATATAAACTTAAATAAAATCAGTTAATGAAGTTTTTACATTACATACTTTTGGTTTTGGAGAAGATCATGATGCTCCAATGATGACATCAATTTGTAATTTAAAAAGTGGAAGTTTTTATTTTGTCTAAGATGTTACATTATTGGATGAATTCTTTGCAGATGCTTTGGGTGGGCTTATTTCAGTTGTTGGTGAAAATTTAGAAATTAATATTTCCTCTTCGGCACCTGCTCCTTATTAAAACATTTAAATATCCAAAACTTATGGGAATATGTGGAAGAAAAAAGGAAATAAATATTAAATTACGTAACCTTAATTAGCCTCTGGATCCAGAAAAGATTATGTTTTTGAATTATTACTTCCTAAATTTGAAGGGAGGGTTTAAGATTATCAAAGAAATGTTGAAGTTATTGATGCAGAATTTAAAATTAGAGATCCTGTTAATGGTTCTTTTATAATAAAAAAAACGAAGATGATGTTAACTTTTTTTAATCTTGATGAATAAATCAACCAAAATATAAATCTAGATATCGACGTCTATGCTTAATATTTTAGAGTAAAAGGAACAGAAGTTATTGATCAAGCTAGAAAGGTATGTGAATAAAATAAAAATGAAGATGCTTAAAAGCTGATTGATAATATGTTAATACAAATTTAGAAAAATTAAAATGTTGCTGCTCAATGTGGTGGAATTATTTAAGATTTGTAATAAGCCAAACAAGCATCAGAAAGATAATCATATGATTTATTTGGTCAAAAATTAATGTGTTAAATGGTTAGTAACAATTATCAACAATAAGGAGTGAATTCTATATTTTCTGCATCAGGAGTACAAATGCAACAACCTACTGCAGCTTAATACTAAAATTGTTAATAATAAAGCATGATGTTTTAGGTATAAAGATAGAAACCTCCTTATAAATATTAATGAATATTATATAAATTAAAATGTTTTTATAAATTCTAATTATTCTTAATTATCAGACTTTTAAGTTTGTAACAACTTAATAAGCATATTTTTTGGTTCAAATAAATGAGATCATTTTTTCATAAATATTTTGCATATTTCTTTTTTGAGGTCTTACAACATAGTATTTACTTTATTTCTAATCATTTAT